GTTTAATTTTTTGCTGTTTAGTTTCACTTTGGTTGCAATAACTGGACTACATCAAGTTTCTCATTGTTATTGTTTTCAGAATCAGAATCAGAATACTTTATTGATCCCTGGGGGAAATTATTTTTTGTTACAGTGGAGAGGCACACAGGGAAGCACACAGCATGAGGAATGACACAACAACAAGCAGGGGATAACAAAGGACTAAAATACGTGACTTAGTAATCAGGAAATGGGAGACAGAAGGGAAACTCAGCTGGCATTAATTAGAGCTGAGATGGGGAACAGAGGCTGAGCATAGAGCAGAAATGTCAAAATAAAACAGGAAGTACACGACTGACAGAGACCCACACTAGACAAATGGTTTGAACCAAGAAATGTAATAAACCAAACATCATACAAATGAAAGGGCAGAAATCTATTAAGAATGTAATTAGTAAAAGTAAAATACTTGAAAAAACATCTATGGAAGTACTAAATAAAGCATTTATACATTGTTATTTCTTGCCTCTGGTTAGGTTGCAAACAGTATAACTATTTAAAGGGGCTACATTTTTAAGCCTTTTTCCAATGATTCTTGTAACCTTTTCCATTTTCCACAATAAAACATTGAAATTTTTTTCAGGAGGACTTTCCACTCTTCCTCCCCACTCCAGAAAATACCACTTTGTGAACCAGCTGAAGACCTGGACCGAAGCTCAGAGTTACTGCAGAGAACACTTCACTGACTTGGTCACCATCTACAACAGTGACATCAACCAACTGCTTTTCTCAATTTCACCAAGGATCAATACTTGGGCTTGGATAGGCCTCTATGATGATCGTTACAGCTGGAAGTGGTCCATGGAGGGAAAACTTTTTTATGTTGGCAGCACACATGAATTTTTGATCTGGGCTAACGGACAACCAGACTGTGTATATGCAAATGAATACTGTGTGGCTCTTCAGGGACAAACACAGATGAATGATAGACCCTGTGGAGCTTCTTACCCTTTCCTGTGTTACAATGGTAGGAAAAAGATTTGTTGGCATAGTTGTCCTACAATTTTATGAGATTCATAATGTGTGTCTCAAAATGAATCCTTTGTTGAATCTTTTACAGCCAGCAGTACAAGTTACATCTTAGTGAAGGAGAGTCGCTCCTGGTCAGCGGCTCAGTCGTACTGCAGGACATACCACACAGACCTGACCAGTATAAGAAGCAAAGAGGAGAAATCCAACATCACGCTCACTTTGAAGGGATCAGGGGTTCAGTATGTGTGGATTGGCCTCTACAGGGATCCCTGGGCCTTCTGGTCTGACAACACAACCTCCACATTCACTAACTGGATGTCTGGTCTGCCTGATAACCAATATTCAGTTGAATACTGTGGAAATTTGAATTTAATGTCGGGGAAATTGAATGATGGCAACTGTGGTGTCAGAATCTATTTTTTCTGTTTCACAGGTGAGGTCCAGAATACAAACACTGTAAGATCCTGTCATCATGTAAAACACTAATGTTTGTGTTGTTATATGTGGTTCATTTTTAGCAGTGACAAAGCAAACAGTGGTGAAAATGAAGCTTCAGTCAGAGGCAGACATGCACAGCACAGAGATCCAGCAGCAGGTTTCACAGCAGGTCAGCAGTTCAGTCACCAACACAAACTTGACACAAGTTCAAACTATGCTTCATGTTTTTCATCATCTGCACATTTTGTCCAGCTGTCAGGCCTCATGCTGTCAGAAGGACTGACAGACTTCAGGATTCGTTGGAGGAAAGTCCAGAGTTACCGTGACGACCAGTCGAAGAAGCAGGATGTGGACGGTGGCTGCAAAACTGAAGACTGACTGGACTGAACCACTTCATGTGTGAAGTTAATAACATGCTGTGCTGAGCTGTCTCATCCTTTGAATCTTTCAATATTTCAGAGTGTAAAGTTCCACCAACAGCTCATTTGTTCAGCTGCAGTTGTAGTTTGGTAGAAAGTCTTTAATCAGAGGTCCACTCACTAGTTTTCCTGATAGGCTCTAGTCTCTTGTTTTGATTTGCAGCGTCTCTTTCAACACTTTAGACTCTGTCCTTCTGTGGTCAGGGTGGACAACAAAACATTGTACTGTTTATGTCTTGTTTCTACTTCTACTGTTTGAAAACTGTAACAGCCATGAATTCAGTTTAATTCAATTCAATTCAATTCATTTCAATTCAATTTTACTTATATAGCACCAAAACACAACAACAGTCACCTCAACTTTCTTTATATTGTAAAGTAGACCCTACAATAACAAATTCAGAGAAAAAAAAACAACAAACATATGACCCCTCCTGTGAGCAAGCACTTTGGCGACAGTGGGAAGGAAAAACTCCCTTTTAACAGGAGGAAACCTCCGACAGAACCAGGCTCAGGGAGGGGCGGGGCCATCTGCTGCGACCGGTTGGGGTGAGAGAAGGAAAACAGGATAAAGACATGCTGTGGAAGAGAGAAAGAATTAAACAACTGATTGAACAATTAACAGCTATCAATGAGACCGTAACAGTCCCAAACCTTACCTGATATAAATGTGGATCATCGTTTTCAATGGAGTGCAGCTGCAAAGCATGCTGGATGTCCTCGTATCTGACACTTTAACTTGACTGTTAATTTGCAGGCACAGACAAAGTTACAGTCACTCTAGTAAGAACTGCAGGTGGTGGGTAAAGTTTGTGCTGGTGTTGCCATAGTTACTGTTGTGGTCTTAGTTTTGACTTGTATTTTCACCTGTGTTGACATGTTTGTCTACTTTTGTGTTTGTAGCTTTCAGCTTTCTTCATGATATATTTGAAAGGGTTTTAATGTGTTCTGTGGTTTCATTCATGTTTTTGTGTGTTACAAATAATACACAGCTATTTGGGTTGAAAACGATAAATCCATGTAGACAGGTATAGAAAAAGTAATATGAAATGAGAGAGATACATTAAAATAGTAAGTAAACAGAATGGTTGAACCATTATTTATTGCCTTTTATAGATTAATTTCTTATTTAATAATATAATTTGACTTCAACAAATTTAAATATTGACATTTTTGTTTGTTTCAACAAAGCTGGAGTGAACCCATGAAAATAATTTAATTTTATTCATTTGAACTTAATTTGTGGTGTAGGTAACTTGATTGTACTTTTCTGTTAATAAATGAATGAGTTATTTGTGTGTTTTGACACTGAGTGATAAATCAGGTGAAATTGCTACAGATGCATGAAAGTAAAGCTAGTTTGACACTGAAGCTTCTTTGTTTCTTTAGTTTTGTATCCGTCTGTGTAAGTTTGAGGTCCATGTCAAAAGCACAGGCATTCAAATGTAAAGGGCCTTAAGTTATATGTTAGTTATGAGAATATTCATCAGTGTTGTGCTTATAGTAGGGTTTTGTTTAATAGATCACTTTTCACCAATGGTAGTAAAAGTTCCAATCTCAGCGTCCCTGCTCAGACATGAATTATATTTACACCCAGGAGAAAGACCTGGGTGTAATTAGCTAACTTGTACTACTTGTTAAGTTACTTTGATGTTACTCTGTAAAATGATCTGAAACACGCTGTCTCATAATAAAAACCTGAGGCTACAGCCCTACACACCAACAAATCCCTCTCCTAATGAGGACACATGTGATCTTTCTCTGTTAGGTATGAATAGAAAGCAAAGAAGGTGTGGCTGGAGTGTATCCCAGCTACCATGGGGCGAGATGCATGGTACACACTGGAAAGGGCGCCATCCCATCACTGGTTTAACACGGGGTGTCGAACTCCAGGCCTCAGGGGCCAGTGTCCTGCAGGTTTTAGATAACACCATGGGTCAACACACCTGAATCAAATGATTAGTTCATTACCAGGCTTCTGGAGAACTTCAAGACATGTTGAGGTGGTTATTTACCTTTAAATCAGCGGTGTTGTATCAAGGACACATCTAAAACCTGCAGAGGCATAGAGTTCGACACTGGTGGTTTAAAACACAAAGATGAACAACCATTCACACCTGTGGGCAATTTAGAATGACCAATTAACCTAACCCCAGGTTTTAGGTTCAGAAAAGAACCGGTTCTGTTCCCTGTAAAATAACATAACGAAACTGGAATTAATTTAAAACGTTTGCAGAATCTCACAAAACACCCCCTCATTTCTTTTGCTTTACTGTCCCATGCAACGATCCGTAGGATATGAGCGCCCCACGTGACCGCTTACAGCAAACCTCAGCAGAGTAGCAACAGCGGGAGAAGAGTTGCGCGTGTGCAGACGTGGCTGCCGTCCTATGAAGCAGACCGAGCTCACGCAGAAAGTAAGTATCGCTCCTGTTCCTGTCGATCAAACACCATTAACACAGCATCGGAGACATTAACACAGGAGAGGCTGGCTGCTGTTTGCCAACAAATCTTCTGCGAGGTTCAGAAAACCATCGTCCAGTATGAGGTAGTGATGTGTCGGTCGCGAACGAAATGGCTCTTAGAGGCGGATCTTTGACGTGAACGACGTGAGCCGACTCCTTATTGTGAGCCGTGGGATTTTTTTCTTTCTCTCGCCCTCTCTCTCTCTCTCGCACTTTGGAGATGGAGATGAGCTTTGTTCACAATGAACACACCCGAAACTCTGGCTGATTGGGACCCACGCCCAGTTTCCCACCTTGGCTCAGGCGATTGAAGGATCATCAGGGGGTCCTTTTGTCACTCCCACTAGGTTTATATCTGGGACTCTCCACCATTTGACCTTAGAACTGAAGAAGCTTCTCGGATTAGAGGTGAAACATCTTCAAGTAACTTAAAGAAGTCCAGACGCTTTTCTTTGCAAGCTCCTTTGACTACGATGACCTGGATGACTGAGAACCTTCACAGACATTCTTGCAATATGCAAATTGCAGAGGGTCTAATGTGTCCGGGATGGCTTCTTTGATATGGGACATGACTATCCTCTCAAAACACTTCATTACAATAGAAGTGAGTGCAATGGGGCAATAGTCATTCAAACAGATTATGTTGTTTTTCTTGGCAAGGGGCACTATGGTGGTGGACTTGAAGCATGTGGGCACAGCTGACCATGTGAGGGACAAATTGAAAATGTCTGTAAACACCTCAGCCAGCTCTGAAGAGTAGACCCTCAAAGCACGGCCAGGAATGTAGTCAGGGCCGGCTGCTTTTCAGGGATTAGTCCTCCTCAGAACCTTGCATACCTCAGCCGAAGTCAGAGTGAGTGAAGAGCTCTGTGCTACCTCTGCTGATAAAATTCCTCTGTTTTGGTTGGTGTTGAGGGTGTTGAAGCGAGCGTGCAACTCAGCTCATCTGGTAGCGTTTTGCAGCTGACTGTGACTCTGCTGCTACTCTGCTAATCAGCGATGTGTTGCAGGCCCTGCCACATGCGTCGGGATCTGGGGCTGATACCAGAGCTTGATGAATGGCCCCCTCCATATCATAGGTAAAGTAACCGATTTTACAGGTGGGTGGAAGGATGGTAATGGGCTCAGTTGTATCTGTGTTGGTGATGAATTGATGTGACAATTCATCTAGTTTGACAATCCATCTACCAGGAATCTGGTAGAGTAAAAAACAACAACAACAACAAAAACAGTAAAAAAAAATAAAAAAAGAAAGAAAAGTAAAAAGAAACAGGGACCCAAAGGCATGACAGGCTGCAAGCCATTTGATAGTTCTTAAGTACGTTAAGTTTTGATGGTTGGTCCAAATGATGAAAGATTGTTCTGTCCACTCTAACAGAAGACACCATTCCTCAAGGGCCAACAGTTCTCGCTCACCAACATCATAATTTCACTCAGTAGGGGTTGAACCATGGGAAAAAAGGCACAGGCTTGTAGCATCAGTTGAGGCATCAGTCTCAGCATTGAATGGTTTGCTAGTGTCTGGATGAGTCAGGATGTACAGAAGTGAACAGATGTTTTAGTTGCCTAAAGGCTGAGTCTGCCTCAGGTGACCAAGTGAAAAGGATGTCCGAGAAGTGGGCGAGCTGCAGGCAGAGCGACTGGTGGATATAGAGAAAGGTGACAAACTAGCAAAAAGGAGATGTGGATACTGGTCTTAAATAATGCTATTACATCAACCATGATCTTCAACAGGTAAGCGTTGCAGGTGCAGGCGTTGTAAATGTGTAATTTTTAAACATATTTAATGGTTATAAATGAAATTTCTGACTAAAATAATCAATGAATTAATGTAATTGTGCTTTAGGGAATAAACAGAGGACTTAAACTCAAAGATTAATTTCCATCTAGAGCTGTAGTTTTTCCCAAAGACAATTTGATGTTTGTGTTGGTCTGATGGAAATGTAGCTGCTGTTACAGTAACTGCTGGTTCTTCAGTGAGAGGAGCAAAAAACACACATCTATGATCCATTTAACTTTTTTAGGTCTGCAAAAAAGTGAATAAACCTCGGATCGGATCGGTCCATCTCTAATATTTATGTGTTATACCGAGTGAATCGACTGAAAGGTAACTGTCTGAACAAAGCTTTGTTATGTTACTTTTGCACTATGATGCACATGTTGTTATTACATGACTTAATAGAGCTCCAGATATTCCAAATATTCCTTCATCACATCTTCTTTAATGTTAATATTTAATGTTTAATAGTAACAAACAACATTTCTGACTAAAATAATCAATGAATGAATGAAAGTGTGTTTCAGAGAATAAAGAGGAGGACTTAAAGTCAAAGGATAAATTCCATCTAGAAGTGTTGTTTGTATCAGACAGAATTTGATGTTGGTGTTGGTCTGATGGAAAAGTAGCTGCTGTTACAGTAACTCGGGGATGGGGAAACTCCAGGCCTTGAGGGCCGGTGTCCTGTAGGTTTTAGATGTGTCCTTGATCCAATACAGCTGATTTACATGGCTAAATTACCTCCTCACCATGTCTTGAAGTTCTCCAGAGTAAATCCACCTGTGTTTGTGTGACTACATTACACTCCCACTGCTGTGGAACCTGAACAATAACCAGAACAAAGTCTGAAATAAAAGCTGCCAAACTGAGCCACACTTTATTTTATAGAATTAACAAAAGGTTTTTTTGTGGTGACATGTGAAGGTGAAAATGATGCAAAACCTGTTTAATAGCTTTTGACCTGAAGGCAGGATTACAGTTTAACTCTGGAATGAAACACACCTCAGTCACAGGTGAAACAGCAACATTTTTCTCCTCCCCTCACGTCACTCAAATGCAACAAACCAGGAAACAGAAAGTTCTTTGTCCTCAGTGCAGAGAGACGCACAGACGATCAGACTGAGCTCAGACCAAACTAGCAGCTTCCTCTGAGTGAGTCCAGCTACAGGAGAGAAA